TCTGCCTTCCTCTTTTGCTGTAGAATGTGCTTTGCTTATAAGGGCCCAAGTGATTAGGTCTAACATAATCCAATAATCTTCCCATTTTAATGTAAAAATTATGACACATAACACAAGAAGAAGGTTTATATTTGGTTATACTTACTGGTTCCAGGGATTAGAGCAGGACTTTTATTTTGCAGGGGAGGAGAGCACATTTTATAACTTCTACCTGCCACAGAGCCTAAGTTGAATTTTGTAAGACCTACATGAAAAAAGTATAAAATTTCCTTGATGATATAAAATAAAATCATATAGGTTTCACTTTGTAAATATCATATCATTACCTCCCAAGTTATCTAGTCTGTCAGTTCAATTTAATTCCAGTCAGATTCTTAACAGAATTTTTTATTAAATTGGCAAGTTGGTTGTAAACTTCCTGTAGTAGAGCAAAATGTCTAAAAATTGGCAGAGACAAATTTGAAAGAGAATGATAGAAATCAACAAACTATATTAAACTAAAGTTAATAAAATCTTGAAGGATTGGTCTAGGAGTAATCCATGGCATAGAATGAGGATTCGTTTAGTAGATGATAAATTTGCTTCAGTCAAAAGGGAAATTATGGCCTTTTAGGTAAATAGTGGTGTAGTTGTCTATCCATTTGGAAACAAAATTAGACCCTCATCCCAAGCACAGAAATAGTTTCCAGATGGAGTGAAGAAATAAATAAACTAAGTAAAATTGTACAGGTATTAGAAGTATTTAAGGGAATTTGCTTATAAACTTCAATTTAGAGAATAACTAACCAAAGTGCTAGGAAGCATTGGAAAAGACCACAATGCTGCGAAAGATTGAAGGCAGGAGAAGAAGGGGACGACAGAGGATGAGATGGCATCACTGGCTTGATTGACATGAGTTTGAGCAAGCTCCGGGAGTTGGTGATGGTCAGGGAAGCCTGGCGTGCTGAAGTCCATGGGGTCACGAAGAGTCAGACAACTGAGCAGCTGAACTGAACTGAACTGATTAGTGTCTGGAAAATGCAAATGAAAATAATTAGTCCTTTCCTCTTTCTTGCTCCGTCAGATTGGAAAAATTTTGCTCAGTCCAAATGTTGGCAAGGGCATTGAGACATGTACTCTCCTCGCATGAATTGTAATGGTGTTTTTGGCAGTGCCCATTGTAATTTTAAGTAGGCCTATCTTTCAAAAGAGTAATTTCCCTAGCAGATTTTTACTGTAGTTAAAGACGTAGGTACATGAGCACCAATGGCGTTGTTATTATAGCAGAAAATGTCTAACAACCTAAAGATCCTTGATAGCAAGGGTTTTTGTTTATAAATTATCTAATGGATTTTGAACAAAAGACCAATTAAGTTTAACCAAAGTAATTTATGGGATTTGTAAGAAGCACTGTCTTTTTCCAGTGTGTGATTTTATCACCTCTTATCACCCATTTTATATTTAATCAAAAACATTTCCCTTATATTACAATCTATTTTCTCAAAACATTGCAGTGTTCTCATCTTACATGAGTATGTGTGAAATGGTAATTCTCTGAAGAAAGCCCTGCCTCATAATGTGTAACATCTTGGGAATTTCTTGTACCTGTCAGTGATGGGAAAAAAGGAATAAAAAATCTATCTGTAGGTATACCATCAAAGTTCTTTTCGAGATTAGTGTGTATATGGAGTAATGTTTGCTGATTAAATGGTTATGTGTGAATAATATTTAATATATTAGATGATAATCTTTAAAGAATATGTAGTGGGAAGGGGAGAGATTAGATGTTTTAGATAGGTATAAGCATTTACCAGACAAGGGAAATATTTTCCTTATGTCTGTGTTTATATGAAAAAGATAAAGTCTAATATCTAGACAAAGACATTTTCAGAACATTAACTTTGGTGGTTTTAATTATAGGATTGTTAGATAAGGATTGAAAATGAAAGCCTTGGTGATAGTGGCCAAGATGGTAGAGTAGGAGGACCCTGAGCTCACTTCTTCCATGGGCACATCAAAATTACAGCTATTTACAGAGCAGTTATCTATGGGAATGACCTGAAGAGTTTCAAAAAAGATTTTCCAGAAGTGAAGATGTAAAGAAGGAACCACAATGAGATGGATAGGGGAGACAAAGCTTCAGTATAATTAACACCCAAAACCCCTCAGAAGGTGACCCACAAGCAGGAGGATAACCACCATTGCCGAATTTTTCCCTAAAGATCAAGGGGTGCAGCCCCCACTTTGAGCTCCCCAGCCCAAAGTTTTGCATTGGAAAGACAGGCCCCCAGAATATCTGGTTTTGAAGACAGGAGAGCTAAAGGGCTGTAGGAAACAAAGACTCCACTCTTAAAGGGTGAATGCAAAACCCCATATGCTTTGAATCCCACCACAAAGCCAGTAATTTGAAAAAACCTGGAGGAATCACACTCCCTCATTTCAAACTATACTACAGAGCTACAGGAATCAAAGCAATATGGTACTGGCACAAAACAGACATGTGAATCAATGAACCAGAATAGAAAACCTAGAAATGAACCTGCGCCATGAGCAATTAATCTATGACAAAGGAGGCAAGGAAATACAAAATGGGGGAAAAGACAGCCTCATCAATAATCTTTGTTAAAATGGACAGCTACATGAAACAATCAAATTGGACTACTTTCTCACAGCATATACAAAAATAAACTCAAAATGGCTTAAAGATGAAAATGTAAGACCTGAAACCATAAGGCTTTTAAAAGAAAGCGTAGACAATATGCCCTTCACCATTGGTCTGAGAAATATTTTTTGGAAATATTTTCACAGGTAAGGGAAACAAAAGCAAAAATAAACAAATGGGACTGTATCAAACTAAAACACTTTTCACAGAAAGGAAATTATTAATATCAACAGAATAAAAAGACAGCTTACTGAATGAGAAAAGGTTATTTGCAACCAATATATCCAATAAGGGTTAATTTCCAAGGTGCACGGGAAACTCATACAACTTGATGTCAAAAAAACAAACATCCCAATTTAAAAATAGGCAGAACTCCTGAATAGATATTTTACCAAAGAAGACATGCTAATGGCCAACAGACACGTGAAGAGATGCTCTATATTACTAGCTCTCTATCACTAAGGATCGGGGAAATGCAAATCAAAACCACAATGAGATACCACCTTACACTTGTCAGAATGGCTGTCACCAAAAAGGCAACAAATAACAAGTGTTTATGAGACTGTGGAGAAAAGGGAACCCTTGTACATTGCTGGTGGGAATGTAAATTGATGCAGCCACTATGGACAATAGTATGAGGGTTTCTAAACAAATTAAATATAAAACTGCCATATGATCCATCAGTTTCACTTCTGGGTATTTACAAGAAGAAATCAAAAACACTGATTTGAAAAGTTATACGGACTCCAGTGTTCATTGCAACATTATTTACAATAGCCATGATGTAGAAGCAACCTAAGTGTTAATCGATACATGAATGGATAAAGATGTGTTGTGCATCTATACACAATAGAATGCTAGTCAGCCATTAAAAAAAAAGAAGCTTTGCTATTTGTGACAATATAGTTGGATCTAGAGGGTATTGTGCTAAAAGCAGTGAGTCAGACAGGGAAAGACAAATGCCTGTAGAATCTAAAACCAGAATAAACTAAGACAAAATGAAGATAGACTTGTAGTACAGAGAACAAATGGATGGTTGCCAGAAGGAAGGGGGTGAAATTGGTGAAGGAATTAAGAGATACAGACCTCAAGTTATGTAATAAATAATCACAGTATATTAATGTATATACATACGTATATGTAATTTAGAAAGATAGTACCAACAATCCTACATGCAGGACAGCAAAAGGAGACACAGATGTAAAGAACAAACTTTTGGACTCAGTGGGAGAAGGTGAGGGTGGGATGATTTGAGAGAATAGCATTGAAACATGTACACTACCATATGTAAAATAGATGACCAGTGCAAGTTTGATGCATGAAGCAGGGAACCCAAAGCTGGTGCTCTGGGACAGCCCAGAGGGATGGGATGGGAGAGAGGTGGGAGGGGGGTTCAGGATGGGAGACACATGTATACCTGTGGCCGATTCATGTTGATGTGGCAAAATAATCACAATGATGTAATTTTCCTCCAGTTAAATAATCACAGAGATGTAATATACAGTACAAGGAATATGGTCAATAATGTTGTTGTAACTGTGTGTGGGAATAGATGGTTACTAAACTTATCATGGTGATCATTTTATAATGTATGCAAATGTCAAATCGTATAGTGTACTGGAAACTAATATTGTATGCCAACTATATTTCAATTAAAAAATAAGACATAAAACCTTGTTAAGGAAAATGAGATAAAAATTATAAAAAGCTTTGGCTCTGTGTGTGTGAAAGTCGCTCAGTTGTGTCTGGCTTTTTGTGACCCCTTGGACTGTATAGTTCATGGAATTCTCCAGGCCAGAATACTGGAGTGGGTAGCCTTTCCCTTCTCCAGGGGATCTTCCCAACCCAGGGATCAAACCCAGGTTTCCCGCATTGCAGGCGAATTCTTTACCAGCTGAGCCACAAGGGAAACCCAATTAAAAGTTGCTGTTTTAACTTTATATATCTTCTGCATTAGTTGTGGGAGTAATGATCCTGGTGAAAATTGCTTTTTAAAGTGAGAGAAGTATGGGATTTTAACCAAAGTAAATTTTTTTTGATGAATTTATTAGATGCACTTCATATAGGCTATTATCTTTATTAAAATAATAACTTTGTCTTGATATTTTACTGTCTCATAAGAAAAGCATCTCATTAATTTATAATATATAACAATTTAAAATTGTTTTTCAGAAGTATTTATTTAATACTTAAATCTCTTTGTAATTGAGGCAAAACTTAAAGAGGGAACTGTGGGCTAATAAAATTGTTTCCATGTGAGCAAAGCTAATAAAAGATGAGAACTGTGGCTGTGTCCCACTGAGAAAGACAAGACACCTTATTAAAAAAAAAAGACACAACCTGTGAATTATTTTTGCAGAAGTCAACGAAAGGTTCCATTGTCCTTGAACACGTATTTCGTCACATAAACCTTGTGGAGGTAGATTATTTTGGACTGCGTTACTGTGACAGAAACCATCAGACGGTGAGTACAGTGACTTCATATTAAATTTTCTGGTTGTAAATTTCATCATACCTCTGGCTTTTCTTGTAACTGAAAAACTTAAACATGTTTTCCATTGCTAATTTCTTTGCATTTTTTCCTCTTCTGCCAGAAGTCTATAGAGTTGTAGGATTCATAGTTTGTATGTGTAGATTTCTTTATAGGTGGCTTCACATGGTTTCTGTTTTTTACAGTTATAGGGAGTACTTTTTTTGTGTGTTGTTAGGAGGACTGAATTAACCATTCAATGTGTTAGGAGCCAAATGACTGATGTCTTGAAGTGATAGGTATTATTGCTTTTTAAAATTTTTAAAAAATTTTTAATTGGAGGATAATTGCCTTACAATGCTGTGTTGGTTTCTGCTGGACAACACGAGTCAGCTATAAATATACACAAATCTTCTCCCTTTTGAGCCTCCCTTCTACCTCTCCCCCCCCAAATCTCACTCCTCTAGGTTGTCACAGAACATCAGGCTAACTCCTTATGGTTATTATTGCTTTATAGGAAAGTAAATGGTTAAAGAGTATTTAAAAGAAATACAGTGTAAAAAGGTGCCTATCTAAGTTTAAGTTGGACAAGCAATTATAAGATAAACCTAAGTAGAGGTTTTCATTCATAAACTTGATAAAATAAGAGTAATAAAGGCAATCAAGCTTTTGGTGTTGGATATCATTTGTTCAGGAGGATTTAACTCAAGATCTTCCTGACTGGTTGAATGGTAGAGAGTTATTAACAAAGTTAGCAAATTGGTTAGTATAGATTCTATTTGGTTATAAGGTTGAAAAGCTCTCTTGGATGATGAAAGAGAAAAGGTTTTGGAGGTGAGGGTTTTGAGATATGAAAGTATATTCATTCATATGACTTTCAGTTTAAAAGTCTAAGATCTTAACCTGAGCTAGAAAGTCTTATTATGCTTATAATGCTTATATGCTTACCTTAAAAATACCATATTTGACCTTTCTTTTTTTATATGCCTGTTGAAATAAATTTTCTCTTCTTTCTTCCTCAGTTCTCCTAGCCTCCATTGAGTCATCTGGGTCTGGGGTCTGTTCATTGTGGTTCACTGTTTATCTGAGTAGGGTTTCTTTGTTTTTTTCCCAAGATCATGGTAGGATGAGAAGAGGCAGGCAAATGGAATGCAGTTGATGGCAGTATGTTCTTGAGCTTTTTCCATAACAAGCTTGTTCTGTTTCACAAGAAGATTTCACAAAGTAGGAATAAAAAATTGGGTGTGTTACTTAGCTTTCCATAGGAAGGAATTGCTTTCTAAGGGCAAGTGGTCATTAATATGTGCTTCAAAGGGAATGGACATATTCAGAAGGTCACTGAATTCTGTCTTGTATGACTGTAAGTCAACATAGCAAAACTGTAAATCTATACTGAGAGATTAAATTGAAGGCTATAGAAGATATCTTTTATTACATTCATATTTTTGAAATAGCATTTTTCCTAGCAGAGGGAAATTCAGTTTCCTGATCTTATCTAGTATGCCAGACCTTGCCTGGAAAGATTGACTGTCTTGCTAAAATTGTATAGACCTTATCTGTCTTTTTTTTTTTTTAAACATTCCAAAGGAAAAAATGTGAAAAGCTAGCGACTTTCAAACAATGGCTTGTATCATTGCAAAAGAATTAGAAGGTGGTATTGATAGTTCAATATTTAAAGTTTTCTAGGGCTTGTTAAGATCAAAATTTATTTTTCTGTTACCTTTATTTCTAAGGGTTGGCATTTGTGATACAGGTTTAGGAGAAAATACATAATTTGAAGGAGAAAACTTACTTAAGGCATATTTTTTATGTGGTAAAAACAGATGTGTAAATCACATGATTTTTTGGCCTTCTGAATTTGTTTCTTTTCAGTAAACTCAGAAAAAAATAGAAGTGATTTGTAAACATGACTTAGTCTTTGCATGTTCAAATGCATTGTCTTGTTTTCCTTTTAATTGTAGGAAGTTGTGAGAATAAGGTCATGACAGTTTGCCCTTCCCTTAGGTAACTGTTTGATCAAAGCCTGTCATTTCTGCAGGGCTGGTAGAGTGTATCTGGGAAGGAAGACATGATTTTGTTCCTGATGTGCTTCTCTTGGATTTTGAGATAGGTGTTGAGACCTCTCTCAGGAAGAAGTACAGGCAGCCTTTTCACTCTAGAAGGGCAACCCCCCAGCTGTAAGTTTTTGAGGGGATTGTCAGTAAACCTCACTTCTTATTTCCTTATTTACTCTCTATACTAGTAGAAACAGCCCTTCGTATCCCATAGTTATTTATGGTAAATAAGAGTTTAAGAATAACCTGATGTTAGAATAGCACAGGACATGGTAAAAAGTCTTTGTCTTAAAAATAGAGGAATTTATTTCTGTGAATATGCCTGAATTACTGTCCATTAGATTGGATTTTATTTATTGCTTTACTCTTTTTCTGTGCCCAGAAGTTAATTTTAATGAACAATGCCTGTGTAAGGATCTTGCATGTAATTAAGACCTACATAGAGAAGACTCTGAGGTCCTAATGGGGACCACTTTGATCAACTCTTGAAGCCAATACAAAGAGATTGGGAAGAGGAACTGAGGGTGAAAGGAAGAAAGAGGACAGGAAAAAGATACGGGTGCATCAAAGAAAAGCTCTCCCTCCCGCTCCCTCCATCAGCAGTGGATCATGCTTTGGGGCGATGCCTGAACTTTGGCTGGGGGTGGGGGGAGTAGAGGGCTTTCCTGTGGCTCAGACAGTGAAGAATCTGCCTGCAATGCAGGAGGCAGCCTGCAGCACTGCTAGCCATCCAGGTGTGGTCAAAGGATTCATCTATGGGTGAGTTAGACTGGCAGTGGCTGCACAACTGACAAGGAAAGGTTATGGAGGGCTTTGTGCCATCTCAGGGAGTAGGTGCATGTTGCATGAGAAGGTGGGCCGCCACCCTGGAGAACTGGGCAGCAACAAGGGGGCTTTCCTGTGGCTCAGACGGTCAAGAATCTGCCTGTAATTCCGGATACCAGAGTTCAATCCTTGGGTCAGGATCCCTGGAGAAAGGAATGGCTACCCACTCCAGGATTCTTGCCTAGAGAATTCTGTGGACAGAGGAGCCTGGCGGGCTACAGTCCATGGGGTCGCAAAGAGTCAGACATGACTGAGCAGTTAGTACATACATACATGCCAGATAAATATGTCCCTGTGACAGGGAGACCCCACGTTGCAGGGAACTTGTTTTCTCTCCTGGAGAACAGGAATAACCAACAGGCCTCAATCCAGATGAATCAGCCATCACCATCATTGTCATCAATACACCAGCAACTGTTGAACATTTTCTTATGTTCATTACATACCCAGAACAACTGTTCAAGTTAAATATTGTTACTCTACCATCAGAGATGAAAAAAAGGAAGCTAAAATGGTTAAACAACATCCCCAAGGTCACATAACCAGCAAGTGTTAAGATCGGAATTCAAACCCAAGTCTTCATGTCTTCAAGATCTTTCAGTTATTCAGTACAATAATATCCTGACTGGAATGCATGTAAGATGAGGAATTCTGAGGAAAGGGAGTTTCATGCCTGGAATATTAAATGAAAAAATTCAAATTTTATTAAGCTGTGTATTCCATGGAACCAAGTCCTGGGAAATTTATGTAGCAAATGCCTAGATTTAGGTGTTCTATATGTGTAAAGAGTGCTTGTTGTTGTCCAGTTGCTCTGTTGTGTCTGGCTCTTTGTGGCCCCATGCCAGGCTTCCCTGTCCTTCACTATCTTCCGGAGTTTGCTCAAATTCGTATCCATTGAGTTGGTGATTCCACCCAACCATCTCATCCTCTGTCGCCCCCTTTCTCCTCCTACCCTCAGTCTTCCCCAGCATCAGAGTCTTTTCCAAGAGTTGACCCTGCGCATCAGTGGCCAAAGTATTGGAGCTTCAGCATCGGTCCTTCCGATGAGTATTCAGGATTGAAACACGCCTTGTTAAGGCTGTCTCTCTGAGGTATAGCTGACTTGATTTGGAACACTCTGGGCTTCCTGATTTCTTCATTTCTCAGGAGGGGTCTGTAAAAGCATCTTGGGATAATAAAAATAGTTCTTCATGAAGACATATTTACTGAGACTGCATTAACACAGTGCCTCCCGCATTACCTCAGGCTTTCTTTTAGATGCACCATGGAGTTCATGTACTTGCAGTTTCTTTTTCTAAAAATAGCAATGGTGAAAGCAGTTAACCTTAGCCTGGATCTAGAACCTCCTTCCTGTTCTGATCTGAACTGGGTTATCAGGTTCATTCTTAATCCAGACTGGTCTGTGTGGAATATGTCCTTTTTATATCTGGACCTTGGTTCGACTTAGAGAAAATTTCCAGCCTTGATGGAAGCTGGATGTGAGGCAGTCTGTCATAAGGATTACAAGAAGACATCAGTTTTGTCTAATGACCATGCCACTCCCTAGCTGTAAATATTTAAAATTCTCTTCCACTGTTAACCCTTAGTCTTGAACAGCAGAACTGTCGGGAGAGTGGACGCCCTCCAGTGTGTTGTAGGCCTGCCTGTTGCCAGTTGAGTGGCTGCTCGTGGGGACACCTTCCTGTTTCCCTCGTGGCCCGTGACCAGCAGCTCCACTTGGCGCGGCTTCAGTTCACGTGGGTAGCAGCGCTCTCTGCTCATTGTCCTAATCCCCAGCGCCTGTGGCTGTGTCACTTCATATGGCAAGAGGGACTTGGCAGATGTGACTAAATCCAGGATCCTGTGGTTGGGAGATTAACCAGGTGGGACCAGCATAGTTACGTGTATTCTTACACGTGAAAGAGAAGGCAAGAGAGCCAGAGGAGGTGTGACAGTGGACACAGAGGTCAAAGCGGTGCATTTATGGAAAGGAGGCCTTGATAGCAGGAAGGCAGGTGGCCTCTGAAAGTTGAAAAAGGCAGGGCAAGGATTCTCCCCAGGTTCTCTCAGAAGGAGCGCAGCCCTGCCTACACTTAAGTTTTAAGCCCAGTGTCTTAGTCAGTTTGGGCTGCTTTA